CACATCGTGCAGTGACGTTCTATACATTGTTGGAAGGAGTATCGAAAGTTGTATATTTTATTACCTTTTCACTTTGATACATCTGCAACGTAAGAAGTTATTGAGCAACAAAGACGCTCCCATTGACTTTCCATGTTAAAAATTTTAATTTTCAAATGAACATTATAAGAAAAAATGAGTTTTGCCAGCTTAACGAAGCATAACGGCATGTACTATGCTCTTTCCTCTACAAGATATAAGAGTTTGGGCGAAATCTATCTCTAAAATTTTGTACAAAGATCGAATGAAAATGTCTCTGCAAAGTCTCGACATCGCCGTCCATTGACTTAACATGGGACACAGCAAAATTCCAACTTTGACCTCGTGCAAAGACACGTTCCGAGATTCTGAGGGGTATACAGCGCACACTAGCGTGTACCCAAACGTGTTTGCCATAAAATGCTGGGATGAAAACCACCCCTTTCTTGGCTCGTTTTTCCGCCATTCCCGATGGCGCAAAAAGTGTCCAAAACCCCGTTGACTTAACATGGGGAAAATGGAATCGCACGTGCCACGTGCCACGAGGTTTTAAGCGAGTAGCGACCGGTGCCATAAGGTAGATCGCCTCCAGGAGCCCATACACTGAACTTTTTACGACGATTGTACATTTCGTCTAGGCCCCTACCAAGTTGCCCCAATTCGCTGCCAGACTTGCAAAACATAGCCCGGACAACGACCGCTCCGGTTGTTTTTCAATAGAAAAACACAATTCTAACGAATAGTGTTTGTCTTTTCAAACAACCTGCGGTTACTCTAGTGGTATGCCAAATTTGAGCACAGTCGGTCCAACCGTTCTTGAGATATGGAAGCGTCAGCCTGCACGTGCGCACGTGCAAACTGGGTCCCATCTGACTTGTGCACGGCACCCTACTCGCCGAGCCCTAACGGTGTGCCAACTTTGATCACAATCGGCCCAGTCGTTCTCGAGATCTGGAAGCGTCACCCTGCCCGTGCGCACGTGCAGCGGCACCCCAACCGTGACACATGGAAATGCATTGCGCGGCGGGTGCCTACAACCATGCCAAGTATCAGCGCAATCGGCAAACTAACTACAGAGTTATTAGACTTGTTACTGAACTGACTTCTTTTCGTTTTGCACGTGGCACGTGCATTAGGGGTCACCCATACGCATCGAGAGTAGCACACTACGTGTAAGAAAGGAAGGAGCTATCCCACACAAAAGACCGCGAGTGAATCGGTCCAGTGGTTGCAGAGATATAAGGTTTGTACAGGCACCCCACAGGCGGCCTACTGCTAATATTTAGCAATAATCAGTGTCGCATCCGCACACGGGAGGTATCGCCGTCACCTATTCGTATACTCTAATGTGGTTGGGTTCAAGTCACAGTCGAGCCCTGCTTTTTTACAACTTTTCTTAAAAACGGCACATCGTGCAGTGACGTTCTATACATTATTGGAAAGAGCATCGAAAGTTGTATGTTTTATTAACTTTTCACTTTGATATATCTGTAACGTAAAAAGTTATTAAGCAACAAAGACGCTCCCATTGACTTTCCATGTTAAAAATTTTCATTTTCAAACGAACTTTATTAGAAAAAACGATTTCTGCCAGCTTAACGAAGCATAACGGCATGTACTATGCTCTTTCCTTTACAAGATATAAGAGTTTGGGCGAAATCTATCTCTAAAATTTTGTACAAAGATCGAATGAAAATGTCTCTGCAAAGTCTCGACATCGCCGTCCATTGACTTAACATGGGACACAGCAAAATTCCAACTTTGACCTCGTGCAAAGACACGTTCCGAGATTCTGAGGGGTATACAGCGCACACTAGCGTGTACCCAAACGTGTTTGCCATAAAATGCTGGGAAGAAAACCACCTCTTCCTTGGCTCGTTTTCCCGCTATTGGCGATCGCGCAAAAAGTGTCCAAAACCCCGTTCACTTAACACGGGGAAAATGGAATCGCACGTGCCACGTGCCACGAGGTTTTAAGCGAGTAGCGACCGATGCCATAAGGTAGATCGCCTCCGGGAGCCCATACACTGAACTTTTTACGAAGATTGTACATTTCGTCTAGGCCCCAATCAAGATGTCTCGATTCGCTGCCAGACTTGCAAAACATAGCCCGGAGAACGACCGCTCCGGTTGTTTTTCAATAGAAAAACACAATTCTAACGAATAGTGTTTGTCTTTTCAAACAACCTGCGGTTACGGTTGTTTTTCAATAGAAAAACACAATTCTAACGAATAGTGTTTGTCTTTTCAAACAACCTGCGGTTACTCTAGTGGTATGCCAAATTTGAGCACAGTCGGTCCAACCGTTCTTGAGATATGGAAGCGTCAGCCTGCACGTGCGCACGTGCAAACTGGGTCCCATCTGACTTGTGCACGGCACCCTACTCGCCGAGCCCTAACGGTGTGCCAACTTTGATCACAATCGGCCCAGTCGTTCTCGAGATCTGGAAGCGTCACCCTGCCCGTGCGCACGTGCAGCGGCACCCCAACCGTGACACATGGAAATGCATTGCGCGGCGGGTGCCTACAACCATGCCAAGTATCAGCGCAATCGGCAAACTAACTACAGAGTTATTAGACTTGTTACTGAACTGACTTCTTTTCGTTTTGCACGTGGCACGTGCATTAGGGGTCACCCATACGCATCGAGAGTAGCACACTACGTGTAAGAAAGGAAGGAGCTATCCCACACAAAAGACCGCGAGTGAATCGGTCCAGTGGTTGCAGAGATATAAGGTTTGTACAGGCACCCCACAGGCGGCCTACTGCTAATATTTAGCAATAATCAGTGTCGCATCCGCACACGGGAGGTATCGCCGTCACCTATTCGTATACTCTAATGTGGTTGGGTTCAAGTCACAGTCGAGCCCTGCTTTTTTACAACTTTTCTTAAAAACGGCACATCGTGCAGTGACGTTCTATACATTATTGGAAAGAGCATCGAAAGTTGTATGTTTTATTAACTTTTCACTTTGATATATCTGTAACGTAAAAAGTTATTAAGCAACAAAGACGCTCCCATTGACTTTCCATGTTAAAAATTTTCATTTTCAAACGAACTTTATTAGAAAAAACGATTTCTGCCAGCTTAACGAAGCATAACGGCATGTACTATGCTCTTTCCTTTACAAGATATAAGAGTTTGGGCGAAATCTATCTCTAAAATTTTGTACAAAGATCGAATGAAAATGTCTCTGCAAAGTCTCGACATCGCCGTCCATTGACTTAACATGGGACACAGCAAAATTCCAACTTTGACCTCGTGCAAAGACACGTTCCGAGATTCTGAGGGGTATACAGCGCACACTAGCGTGTACCCAAACGTGTTTGCCATAAAATGCTGGGAAGAAAACCACCTCTTCCTTGGCTCGTTTTCCCGCTATTGGCGATCGCGCAAAAAGTGTCCAAAACCCCGTTCACTTAACACGGGGAAAATGGAATCGCACGTGCCACGTGCCACGAGGTTTTAAGCGAGTAGCGACCGATGCCATAAGGTAGATCGCCTCCGGGAGCCCATACACTGAACTTTTTACGAAGATTGTACATTTCGTCTAGGCCCCAATCAAGATGTCTCGATTCGCTGCCAGACTTGCAAAACATAGCCCGGAGAACGACCGCTCCGGTTGTTTTTCAATAGAAAAACACAATTCTAACGAATAGTGTTTGTCTTTTCAAACAACCTGCGGTTACAGTTCTAACTTCTGTTTCGAAAACCGACGTTACACACATTCGCTGCCAGCATAACATGTATTGTTTGACAGTAACAAAATACAATTGACATCTGAACCCCAAACGGACCGCCATCCACTCAAATTTTATAACCCTAACCGGTCAGGGGGCGAATGGAGGTCATCTCCTGGGCATTACACTCAGCCTTTGCACAAAATATCTCACCTCACAGTGATCATTACAACAATAGCACCGACTTGATAGTGGATTTCAAAGTACTTGCATCAGCTCTTCCTGCTATTGCAGACGATCATCTCCTCAGGGTAATGTTATTCGGGACATGAACGAAGATCGTTTTCGGAGTTTCATAAGTGCTACAGCAACAGCCTGGCACAAAACAGGACTTGTACGCTCTTCTCTGCACTTTGCCCTTCAGTATATCACAAAAGAATTGTTTAGAATCCATCTTACGCTTCTTTCACAGTCTCCCTTGCCACCGTAGGGCGTAGATAGATTGCTGTTGCTGGTAAGTTAAGGCACGGTAGATAGAAATTACCTCGGTTCTCATTTCTCAACGCCTTAAGCTATTTTCATAAAAAAGAACAAACAAATGATCAATAAGATGACAGGAATGTAAACATTTTAATCGTAAAGTAGTCCAAATATTGGAATGAGCTTTTGCTTTTCAGCATCCTCCGATTCATCATCTTTATCATTTGAAAATTCGAGGTACATAAAATGTTTATCACGCGCTCAATGTTAAGTGGGAATATAGTACACGGCAGACACATCAATTTTTGACATTGAACATTTCATCCGTAAATGTTTTAGCATAATATAAAGTTAAAAACAGCGCGAATGGCAGAGTGAAACAAACAACATCTTTCACCCATTGATATAACATGTAATCTGTGGTGCGCCAGATGCGCCATTTTTTGTCAACCGCAGAAGGTGACATGTGACGTAACAGCATCAAGAGCATCTTTTTTCAAGAACTTTTCAAAACAAGTTTCCTATCTTTCTTCCCCCATTTCTCTCAGCATATTGATTTTATGAGGCAATGGTATGCACCATAAATTCTGTGAAAATAGTTTGATCATTTTCATGCATTCTTAAAAAATCGAGTTCCCAACCCCATTCTTCCGCATCAATCGCCTGCGAAAGGTGCGTGCGATTGATGCGAGCGTGCTTCCATGTATTTGAATAGGCTCTTGCACGCGATTTCCTGACCGCGGAAAGAGTCTGTTTCAGGTATAACACAGTCCGGGACAGAAGGAGCACGAATTTCAGCTCCGTATGGTCGGTACACTCACCAGAGTGATGCGTATCTGCGCTCCTTGACGGTACAGACGGCTCTGAACAGTTTGTCGGAGAACTCGAGCTGGTAGCTGGGCAGTGGCAGGCCGTGGCGCACGCTCCACGCGTGCAGCAGCGTCTTAGGCAGCTGCTCCGGCTGGGGTGCGCAGAGGGTGGTCACTTGTCGATATAGGCATCTATAAGTAACTGCTCCGTCCGGCTCGGGGTTACAGTGACAGTGACAGAATCAGAGGAAAATACAACTGTTAATTTTACTCGACCAGACATGTGCATGGATCCGAGCGATGGATCTATGATCTCAATGGATCTCGAAGCAAACTGCAGGTTACGATCTATGATCCCATCGGATCCGGCGTGAAAAATTCATCTTGGATCTATGATCTCATACGATCTGACGATAAATCAAGAACATGGATCTATGATCTGAGTGGATCCCACCATGCACAACATTTGAAACCATGTTTTAAAGGGTTTCCTTGTCAATAAGTGCCACAAAATTATGGATTATGACGTGCGAGCACATAAAATCACTAAAACAGAACGTTTATGAGTTGCAACAAGTGTTTTGGGGGGATTTCTGTGTTGACAAAAAATAAGTGAGGATCTATGATCTCACTGGATCTCAAGTAAAACACGAGAATCGGATCTGTGATCCCTACGAATCTCTCGATAAATTTGAGAGCTGGATCTATGATCCCGTCGGATCCGAGATCAGGATCCGTGGGATCAGATCCCAGATCCATTTTCTCGGATCCATGCTCATGTCTACTCGACCAAGTGCATTTCGCACGATGTGCACTGCAAGGTATATAAATTATCGCTCCACATTATGTACCATGTCGAAATACGAGTTTAGTGCACAATTTAACTGCGAATCGGCATTTTTTCAATCCAAATCGGTTAACTTTACTTGTCTCGTGTTTTCTTTTTCGACGATTTCGGTGGGTCACGTGTGGTGAACCGTGAGGTGATGAGCGAGCTCGCCGGCACTTATATGTTGTTTGCTGATTTTGTGCGTGTAAAAATACATGGCTTGAAAAGAAGAAAAAAAACTTTACTTGTCTCGAAACATTAAGTGATGCTTTGAGATAAACCTCACAAACATTTGACGAAACTTCAGACGAAAACTAATCCACTAACCGTATAGTGACCCCGCACGAAGGCTCGGTGTCCGGGCTCCACGCCGTCGTCGAGCCGCGGCCGTTTGGACAGCGGTCTACCGTCGGGGCTGGTCGGGGGTCCGATCGCGGCGCGGCAGGCGCCACCCAGACCCCAGATGGCGCTGGAGGAGCGCGGGGCAGGCAGGGTCAGTACAGAGGGCACTGGTGGGGCAGTCCGACCAGACCCAGAGTCGACCGGACCATTTCAGCATAGGCAGAGCAGTTGAAGGGATAAACGATAAGCCTATTATGCAAATTAGTACATCAATATCGTCAATTATGAGCAGTGAACAATGGAATATATCCAATCGAAGCAGTACTTCTCCCCTCGGTCCACTCCACCTCCCACTCACCAGATTTCCTCGAGGGTCTGCGCAGCCAGGAATCGTTTGCCGCGAGGCGTCTCCTGTAGCTCTCGTAACATCTGCTGTACTGTGTACTTGGCCTGCGTGAACGGGTGGTGGTACCTGGCGAAACACAAACGGTAAATAAGTATGGCAACATCTGCTGTACCTTTATAAAGTCTGATGGCCAAGAGTTGCGAACGAAAATTATAATTAAAATCTAAATCTTTTTGTATTTCAGACGTTTCGACAACACTGTGTCATCGTCAGTAATTGATATAAAATATTTCCATGTGTCATTACCATGTGTAATTTCTTAATGCTGATGTTATTTTTAAAATGTGATTTGTGACTTCAGGAAATATTTTATATCAATTACTGACGATGACACAGTGTTGTCGAAACGTCTGAAATACAAAAAGATTTAGATTTTAATTATAATTTTCGTTCGCAACTCTTGGCCATCAGACTTTATAAACATGTCTTACAATAATGAACATCTGCTGTACCGTATACTTGGCCTGTGTGAACGGGTGATGGTACCTGGGAAAGGCACACGGTGAATCTCTGTAACATGCAGAACTAAAGTCAATTTGGAAATGCAATGAAAATACGAGGCTGATTTTTTTAATCACCTTTTACATCGTGTCCCGTTAAACAACACAAGTTTTCTTCTACGTCATTAAGAAAGAATGATGGTTACTAGGAATGGCAGGTTAGCACGAAAATCAATCGCCTGACACATAGTCGCCACTGACCGGATACAGAGCTGACACTGACCGGATACAGAGCTGACACTGACCGAATACAGAGCTGACACTGACCGGATACAGAGCTGACACTGACCGGATACAGAGCTGACACTGACTGGATACAGAGCTGACACTGACCGGATACAGAGCTGACACTGACTGGATACAGAGCTGACACTGACTGGATACAGAGCTGACACTGACCGGATACAGAGCTGACACTGACTGGATACAGAGCTGACACTGACTGACCTGACACACAGTTCCAACAGCCGGGTGATGACCGTGTCCATCTCCAGCGGCCCCTCCGTCCGAAACACAGAGAGATTCCACATGGCGGCGCGGGCCAGCATGACGCCCGAGGTACCGCAGCGCTCCCGGAACGCCTCGGCGTCCGCCCGGCACTGGATGTGCCGAGAGCCGCCGCTGGGGTGCCACGAGGGAGTGGTAGGGTCAGAACTGGGGAACTATAATCGCAGCCACATCGCAGCCCGCAGCCCTGGATGCTGGAGAGATACAAGAGTCACACGATTAAAACAAACTTAACACTTGATCAAGTTGATACATAATAGAGCCAAAATTAAGATTCGATAAACCTAGCGAAAACATAATAGATCGAGTTAATGGGACCCGTCCGGATTATTGCCCCGTCCCGGAGCTCACTTTGCGATGACGGGTATGGTGAGCGCCTCTGCCACGCGCCGGATGGCGTCCTCGTGCACGGGGTGCCGCGGCCGCTCGTGACGCGTACGGCCGTGAACGGTGAGCGCTGCCACGCCACACGACTCCACCATCCGGCAGAAGGAGAGCGTCTCGGCGTCCGAGGCCAGCAGGCGTATCTTACCTGGAAGTAAGCCGAAACAACAGTCAGAGGACGGATGGTGAGAAAGTCGGCAGAGAGCAAAAGTCGAGTACGATGAAGCGGGAAAGAATAAAGTCAAAAAAAGAAGAGAAAAAAAAAACGTTATTTAGATGAATATGGATGCATAGATATACTGCAGTCTGCAGTGGATGTAAAATGGCAATGGCTATCCAGCAGGTCACTTGTAATATAGAAATTCAAAATATATTTGCCCTCGGTCGACGGTCAGGCCCCCAGTCCCCCCAAAAGAGCCGTACTCACAAGTCACTGGCACTCTGACTCCTTTGACGAGCGTCGTCAGAATGTCCTTGACCTTGTCGGGCTGCTGCAGCAGGGCGGCGCCCATGCCGCCCTTGATGGAGAACTCCTTGGGACAGCCCATGTTGATGTCGATGCCGGCCACATCATTCTCACTGCCATCACAGACACCGAGGGAACGCAGGTCATACCACAACTCACACTGAGGATACATACTAGTGATGTCAATTACGGAAAATCGGAATACCGATACCAAACCAAATACCAACCAAAGCCGTGGAGAAATACCGAAACCAAACCAACTTGGGAACATGAGGAAAATACCAACTTTTTACCGATTTCTTGGCCTCTTAAACATTAGCGAGGGTTCATGATACCAACAAAATACGAAACACATTAGGATTGAAATACCAAATACCGAGTTGCTATCGGTTTGGTATCGGTATACCAAAACGTTGGTAGGTATACGATTGACATCTCTAATACATACAATGCACTGTAATAATACACCCAGGAAAGTCCGTATACGTACTAAATACATCTAAACAAACGGACAACATGGGTAATGGGGACGGCTTATCGGGAATTTTGGCAATGGAAAAATCGCCCGCCGTCAATATTTTCAGCAAATAGTAGTCCGGCATTTTGTCAGCCAGACGAGAAAAAAAGCTTATGGTGTGTATTATGTAGGAGAGAAAATAAGATCAGCCAGACAAATAACTGGCGTTTCCAATCAGCACTTTTTTATCACACTTGCTGGAGACATTTACTCTCGCCCTTATAGGGGTGGTGGGGGGTCGAATGGACCGTCCATCGGTTTTTCGCGAATAGCTCGCGTAAAAGCGGCCGATCGCGACGAAATTTCAGTGCTCTTGAGTCGGTCAATTTTCCACCTACCCTGAAAATTTCATGACCCTGACCCAAATGACCTTTGACCTGTGACCTATTTCTCGAGGTCATGTTTGGCCGGAATCGCGATTCGCGTATGTCGGCCCGCATTGGCCGCGCGTTTGCAGTCTTTTCGTGGTTTTAAGCGTTCAAACATGTGATATAATGTTGGTCCCATGCATTTGGATGGGTGTGAAGGTCACGGGAAGGTCAGGTCAGGTCATTGACCTTTGATGACCTCGGTTCACTTTCTTGAGTTTATGTTTCTAGTCTAGTTTTTTAAGCTGAATTCGAATTAAGTAACCATTTGAACATTACCGAAGTAGTTTTGGTGCCTTCGTAACATGTTACGAAGCTGTCAGAGGCGGTTGACACGTACTACGAATACCTGGCAGGACCCCAGGCTGCTGGTTGACCTGACCTGACTTGACCTGACCCGACCTAACCTAAATGCATGAAGACATCATCTGTGGTCAAAACTAGCATGGTATTCGTGATCAGTACCCCGAAAAACCCCATAGCAGCCACACTACGACGTTCTAACAGGTCGCGATTTTTCCGACTTTTGGGTCATTGATCTGACCTGGAGGGTCAACTAACGACCTAGGACCTTAAAATTGGGTATCATCGGCTTCCTCACGTCACGGGCAACATACTCGTTTTTTTCGCGAAGCTCTAGATCGATCAGGGGTCTAACAACGGGATGGGGTTACAACAGACCCCCCCCCCCCATTATACGTTCGCTGCTGGCGAAACACCAACACGGCCGAGGGTTAAAATAACAGGAAATTGTTATGTCGTTATGTCGGTAAAGGACACTCATCTACCAATTCTCAATCACAAAAAGCTGAACATTTCACTCAGCTCACACTTCCACAAGATCAATGATAGATAACTCATAAACCTATCTATCAAATCAATTCTCATTTCTCACACTTAGTTCCTGGCATGTGAAGGTCCCTATCAAACCAGACCTGTCTGATCTTAGGTCAGACAGGGCCCAAGCCCGCTTGCTTATCCCTGTCCAGGCGCAGACACCGCAGTGACTCACAATTTGCGGCCCACCTGGAGGGCTCGCTCTGCGTCACATGTGCCCATCTGGAGCACCACTCGGGAGCGTTCCTCTTCGCAGGTGCGCAGAATGACAGTGCCATCCGCTGGGTCCACATAGTCCACAGTCCCCAGCGATTCTGTCAGATACAGACAGTGGTAACAGTCATACAGTGGAAAGCCATGTCAGTAGTTGTGTCACACTACCTCCAGCCATATACACAGAACTGTGATGCCTGCTTTACACCCACTGCCATGTCATAGTGGTATGGAGACTGTCAGTTACAGTCACTTACCATTACAGTGCCCACATTAAGCACCGGACTCCTAAAAAAGAGCTAATACCAACCCTGACCACAACAATAGTATCAGTGCAAAGTTACTGAGAACAGCCGTGAACAGTTAAAGTCAGTGACGAGGAACTAAACAGCACACCAAACCTCAGCATATAAATTGAAATTCCCATCCAATGACTGAAATTTCACAATCAAATGGTAGGTAGGACCGTAGGGGTGGGGGCCTGCAGCCACCTCCACAGCAGAGCAAACTCTTGTTTCACATGGCTCTGGCTTTAATCCATTTGTTCAAAGTATTCAAGTATACTTGAATATGTTATTGTTTAGCTGGAACATGGATGACAGCTGATAGAGATCAAGATAATCGTATTTCCAGCTCTGTTAATTTGAGCTCTTCGGTTATTACAGCTTCTCGAATAAATGAAGAGCTGGAAGCATGGTTATCTCTGCCAGCAAAATATTCAAGCTTAATTCTTAAAGGAAGTGGATACTTACTGTTTACTTGCCTCACAGCTGCCAAAAGCTTCCAGTCCACGAGCTCTTCGGTAAAAACAATATCAGCGCCATATTCCAAAGCCAGAAGACGAACAGGTAGTGTAGAGACACGAACCATTGGTGCCAGAATGATCTTATTCTTGTAATCCATTGTAATTAATAATAAAATAAAATACTTATTATTAGCGATGAAACGCAATGCACCGCCACCACCCCCTCCACGCTCTCTGCTCCCAAAGCAAAAGTGAGCAAAATGCTACAAGCTTGGGTTGTTGATATGAAAGCTGCAAAGTTGTGAAGCGAAGTTCAGCGTGTTCTATTGTCTATATGTCGTCGTCAAGCCATTTGTTTTTCTGCTTACTTGTGACCATTTTATTTTTGTTTGTCTCTTATCTAGAAGACGAAATCAATAGCGCGATGATAAAGAAAAAGCCAAAAAAATCTGCTTAGATGATAAAAGCGAAATATTTGTACACAAAGTATGCAAAGCAACAAAAAAGTTGTACGTCAACGCGAGTCGCGAACGTAGCTGTACACGTTGAAACGTAACAACTGCGCTGTTTTAGAAACGTTCGAACATTTTCTATTTTGCTCACTGAACTCTATTTTGATGAAAAGGCACTAAATAAAGGACAACACTATTCGACCGCCACCCTTGCAGGCTGCAGCCATTCTATTACTCAGGAACCACTGGACCGATCAGAACGAAGTAAACACCAATCGAATCAGGGTGTAAGATTTTTTTTATAAATTTAGTCCGAACCTTTTGATGGGAAGGATTCACAAGGACAGAGCCACCGCTAAGCGAAGCTTGTTGCGATGACCCTGCCCTCTACCCTCCGATCGCGCATTTCCGATTCTATGGCAGAATTTAGAGTCCAAAGTTTAACGTGCGCACAAAGCCGCGCACGGCCGGTCCCCTCGCTGACTTCGCCTGGCTACGGCCTGCCACCAACCGCAACCATACCTGTCAGGAGGCCCATAAATGTCGAGCGCCCGTCGCGCTTCGAACCCGGACTGTCATAACCGGGAACGCGTGCTCTCACCACGCGGAGTCCAACGCTCTAACCAACTGAGCTACGGGACCGGCAAGCTACGGGACCGGCTCATCAGCATTTTATCAGCCGTTTCGAAGATGGTGACCTCAGGTGGCCTGGGTGACCTCAAATGATCAACTTAGCGTTGAAGCCTATTGCAGCAATTCTATAACTAACTCAGGAACTACTGGGACGATCGAGACGAAAACACCACCAGTCAATTCAGCGTATGCGATTCTATGACCTGTTTCGGATAAGTCGAATATGGTGACCTCAGGTGACCTTGGTGACCTCGGAAGGTCAACTTCACGTTTGCAGCCATTTTATAACTCAGGAACTACTAAGCTGATCGAGACGAAAATACCACCAGTCGATTTGGCGTATGTGACTTCATCAGCCTTTTCGAATATGGTGACCTCAGGTAACCTCGGTGACCTTAGGAGGTCACATGACCGTTGTCGCCTATCGCAGCCAAGGAACTAGGTACTGGGCCGATCGAGATGAATTACAGGGCCTCGGCTAACATGTTAACTACTGGGGCAAATGCCCCAGTAGAGTCCAGGAATGCCCCAGTAGTGGTCAGGTATTGCCCAGCCTCCACAAAATGATAATATCTTAATATAAACGTACATTTTTCACTCGGAAGCGGTTGAAGACGTTTGTGGCAAGAAATCAGGGGCGGCGGAAGAGAGGGTGCATGGTGTGCAGCTGCACCCTCAATTACCAGCCAAAAACATAAGCGTGCATTGCCAAACATATCTTTTTGTACCCCCATAATCCATAAGCTGCCATTCGTTCGAAAGAGCGTCAAAAATAATGATGAAACTACTTCGGCCACCTTTTTGGTCAGTCAAAGGTCAGGTCATGGGGGTCATTGACGGCCACATTTCGCCGACTTTCAGGTCGAATATCGACAATTTGCAAGATGCCGACGCATGACTCGGGAACCAATAGAGCTACAGCGCTGCGGATAAGCGCATTTGATAGCCATATCAGCGTACTTTCTGGGTATTTCTCTTAGATTTGACCTAACGTCAACGGTTTTGCCTGCAGGGGGCAGAAACTTCCAAAATAGACGATTTTTTCGGGAACATTTTTTTTCTGCGATATCGTTTGACTCAAGCCTTGCACGAGCCTTCTTTTACCAACATCGTGTTCCTCTCATCAAGACGCATCGAATGAACTATAATTTGATCTTGAAAGGTCAATTTGAAAATTTGACCTCAGGTCAAGGTCATGATCTGACCGGAAATTGTCATGTTGCATATCAGTGGATCCGTATCGTCGACCTGAACACATATAAGGCGTTTTAATCGCTCTAGCATCCTCTTTCAAAAGTAAGTCGCGAAAAACTTTTAGATACCATTTGTGCCCTGAGATGACCTCAGGGGTCACGGGTCACGGCTGCCATTTTCATGTTCAGTGTGTCAAAGTTACTTGTAATTCAGTGTTTGAGAGTGTTTAGAATGACTTTCGTCCAAGAGAGGCGGTTTTGAATTTTCTCCCATTGACTTATAATACCTAGAGAGGTCGCAAAATTGGCCTGAGGTTACCGATATGAAAATTCCGAGATATACATTTTGTACATAATGTTGCTACTTGCTAGAGCACTTCATGGACCGGATAGCTCCGTTATCCATGATAAATCCATGGACTGGATAGGATTGGATCCCAAATTTTGAAAACTAGAACGGATGTGGGAATTTAAGTTTGAACACGGATCAGAACAGATAAAATTATGCATTCTATATTCATGTAAAGAATTAACTGAACTTGTTAAGCAGCAGCAGCGGTATTTTATGATTTAGGTACATGTGATTTAGAAGCATGTCTTTGTGAACCATGATAGTCTGTGAGATATATGGTTGTCTGGTCCCTTACAGTGAATTTGTGATAGTCCACAACCAGTTCACGGCGAAACGGATTATTATGGATATTTTTTGGATGTTTGGCTGAAATATTAGCCATGGGCGGGCCGGATTCTGAAGTTCAAAGAGAGGCAGATAATGGGCGGACCCGGATATGATTGCTGGATATAGGCCGGGCTGGATCCTGAAAAGCCTATCCGTGAAGTGATCTAACTGTTGCCCTTATCAATCGCTGAAAGTTTCAAAGCGATCGGTCACTCGGTGTAGCTATGGTATAAAAATTGAAACATTTTATGAGGTTACTTGAAGTGACCTGATGACCTGACCTTGGATGACCTTGGTCTGAAATTATTACAACATGTGTAGATTAATTGGTGGATGATAAGGTGTGGCGCTCCGCTCCGCCGTTTTTGAGATATCCGCGGAAAAACGCAGGGGGGGCACCCCCCAGCAGGGTGCAGTTAACACACTTCGACCATTTGCCCCAGTAGTCAAAATTCCTTAGCCGAGGCCCTGGATGAAAACACCACTAGTCGATTCAGAGTATGCGATTTCAATAGTTGTTTCAAATATGGTGACCTCAGGTGACCTCGGTGACCTCGGAAGGTCAACTTCACGTTTTCGCCTATTTCAGCCATTCTATAACTCAGGAGCTACCCAGCTAACAGGAAACGTTACTACAACGTTGTCACAACGTCTTGTTTCGGTAAGTTGCGAAATTACGTTTTAATTACGTTGTAGCAACGTTCTGAACGTTGTGAACCCATGGTTTGGTCCGAAAGTCATGGCAAAACGTCGTGACAACGTTTTATTGGTACGTTGCAGCAACCGCGCACTTGCAGCATTATATTTTGACCAGTATAGCGCCTTTTGGGGCGACTAACGGAGCGAGCGAGGGGGTGAGTCTTGCACGTGCGAAATTTCGAGGGGGTACCTCCAACTGACTTGTGCACGGCACCCTACTGACTGGTCTCTAGCGATGTGCCGAATTTGGGCACAATCGGCCCAGCCGTTCTCGAGATCTGGAAGCGGCACCCTGCACGTGCGCACGTGCAAAATGGGTCCCAACTGACTTGTGCACGGCACTCTAGTAACCGGTCCCTAACTGTGTACCAAATTTGAGCGCAATCGGTCGAGCCGTTCTCGAGATCTGGAAACGACCCCTGCACGTGCGCACGTGCAGCGGCACCCCAACTCTGGCACATGGATATGCAGTGCCTAGTGGGTGCCTACCTACATGCCAACTTTCAGCGCAATCGGCCAAGTAGTTACCGAGATATTGCAACAATTACAAAAGTGACACCTCTTCGTTTTGCACGTGGCACGTGCATAAGGGGTCACCCACATGCATCGGGAATAGTCCAATACTTGGTAGAAGGAATGAAGCTACCCTACAAAAATTACCGCATGTAAATCGGTCAAGTGGTTGCTGAGATATAAGCCTCGCAAAAGCGTCCGCACGGCCGGCCGGCCGGCCGGCCGGCCGGCCGGCCGCTCATACTCAGAAATTTCCGTTATTCTACGTAAGACTCCGCTCGCTTCGCTCGCTCCGTAATAATGCATGGTGACATATATGGCCATATAATGCATTTCCTTTGACTTTCAATGCGCATATTCAGTTTTCATCGTTAAATTTGACATATTTTAACACTTGGATTGTTCACGTTGTCAGCTGGTGGTCGCCAACACGTTGTTAAAACGGTTTTTCACAACCTTGACATTATAGGTACTGAATAATTAGCGGTGTTTTTACAAGTAAATTCTGATACCTTTCTCTCTCTATCTCTCTCTAATATATATATATATATATATATATATATATATATATATATATATATATATATATATATATATATATATATATATATATATATATATATATATATATATAGGCGTGGCGATGGGTTCACCTCTCGGTCCTCTATTCGCCAACTTTTACATGGCTTTTGTCGAGGAGAGTACTTTCAGTGACCCGGACATCAAACCAACGACATACTGTCGATACGTAGATGATGTTTTCTTAGAGGTGAGGGACCCACAGCATTTAGCTGATATCATTCGAGCACTTGAAAACAACTCTGTTTTGAAATTTACTTTTGAAACACACCAAGATGGAAGCTTGAATTTTCTTGATGTTACTATTCAGACCACCCCAGACAGATACCTCACTGGCGTCTACGCCAAACCCACCAACAAAGGAAAAACACTCAAAGCCAAAAGCGAATGCCCCTCTCAGTACAAGAAAAGCGTGCTCCGAGCATTCATAACACGGGCAGTAAAAACCAGTTCCACTTATGACTTGATGAACACAGAATTTGACAGGGTCAAACAACTTCTGGTGAACAATGGATTTACAAACACCGAGGTAGACGAAGAAATCCACAAACAACTTGAAAAACGACACAAGCCACCACAACCTGCGCAACAACAACAACCTACCAAGGTCCATCACCTGTATTACAGGAACTACATGAACACACAACACAAAACTGATGAGAAGATCCTCAGAGACATGTTGAAGAAGAACATCACCTGCACAGACGACAATAGTCAGGTTCAACTTCACATCTTTTACCGAAACAAGAAAACATCCCAACTAGTGATGAAAAACAGTCCCGCTTCGACAAAGACA